CCCCAAAACCCCAAAACCCCAAAACCCCAAAACCCCTGCTGTTGCATAACAGATTGATAGACGAATTAAGAAAACTATTTAAATCACGGAAAAATAGGAACTTTAAATAATTAATTTGATTAAAAATGTTCTTGAGACATTTCTTCTCCTTATGGAGAAAGAATTTGATACTCTACAAAAGGAACTGGAAGGGATCACTTTGTGAAGTTCTATGCCCGATCATACTTGTTGCCTTAGTGCTACTCATGAGAGTTTTGATGACTAAGTCTGAGAAGACAAGCAGTCACCAATTAGACAAAGGCCATATATGGTATGACAGGCTTGGAACTACTACTAATGATGCCTCAAAAGAATTCCTTGGATATACTATGTTCGATTCTTCGAAGACATGGATGAAGTACTGTTTGGATAGAGGATATGGACCAGATAGAAGCATCATAGCACTTGCTCCCTCTTCAAGTTCAATTGTGACAGGAGTAAAAGCCTCACTTGATGCTGATCTTGCTGCTTATAACTTGACCACTAGATTGTATGCTTCAAGAGATGATATCTTTAAAGTCTTGAAGTCTGGTAGCTATGAGAAGGATGACCAGCCTGGTATCTGATTTGGAGCAGTGCTAGAGAAGTCTGATGCAACCTCAAACGAATATCAACTGAACATGATCTTTGACGATGTCACTACTGAAGCTTCAGAAGATTCAAACATGCCTAACCAGCAACAAGAAGCTGCAAATAAGTACCAAAGAAAGCCCGATGATACTTCTTGGAATCAATATCGCTTAGGAGGATACTCATATCTTCAAAACATCTTTGCTAATCGTATCTTGGTGGATCGAACTTCAGCTGGAGCATATATCTCAATGCTCAATGTTCCAATGAAATCTTCTGATTACAACAAAGATGATTTTGCAAATGCAGCAACTGATTTGTGGAACTTCTTTATCCTGTTCATATTTTTAGCCCCCCTGTACAGGTTCTCCTACAACTCAACAAATGAAAAAGAGACCAAAGTCAGAGAAGCCATGAAGATCATGGGACTTACTGATACTCCATATTGGCTTTCATGGTTTACTTATTACCTTGTCATCAACACTTTCCTCAGTCTGGTAATGATGCTGATTCTGATACCTGTGTTCGAGTACTCAAACAAGTTCTTGGTGTTCTTGTATTTATGGATCTATGGAATGACTATGTTCAGCTTTGGACTGTTCATTGGAGCATTCTTCTCAACTGGCAAGACTGCATCTATTGTGTCAAGTATGCTGTTCTTCTTGTCTTCTTTCTTGATCACTGCAGTTCAGGATTCAACTGTATCTGAAACTTTGAAGACTCTTGTATCATTTATTCCGGCCATTGCTGTTCAATTAGGAGGAGTTAACTTGCTTGCTTTTGAAGATTCTGGAATAGGATTAGGCTTCGACAACTGGAACGAAGTGTACGAAAACTACAGATTCTCGACTTGCATCTGGATGAACGTGTTATCTTTCTTTGTGTTCTCGATTGCCGGACTGTATCTTGAGAATGTGATGCCAGCAGCAGTAGGAGTAAGAAAGCCATTGTGGTTCCCATTCACGAAACAGTTCTGGTGCGGATCTAAGCACAAAGAAAGAGAGGAAAGAGAAAACAGAGAAGGAGAAGGCAACAAAGTTGCCAACTCAAGCGATGAAGATAGTTTAGAAGAAAAACTAGCTGTGGATCCTGAAAACTTTGAAGATATTCCTGAAAACCTCAAAAGAAAGGAAGATGACAACAAATTCCTTCAAATCCAAGGTCTTAAGAAGAAGTTCGGTGACAGCTTCTGGGCTGTCAATAATCTCAACGTTGAAATGTATGAAGACCAGATCTTTGCTCTGCTCGGCCATAATGGAGCAGGCAAATCCACCACCATGAACATGATGTGCGGTATGATCTCGAAGACAAAAGGAACTGCTTCCATTTATGGCTATGATATCGAAACAGAAATGAACGAAATCAGGAAGATGATGGGATACTGTCCCCAACACAATATTCTGTTTCCAAAGCTGACTGTGAAAGAGCACTTGCAAATATTCGCAAAGTTCAAAGGGAGGTCTCAAAAAGAAATCGACGAAGAGATCGATGTACTGATCAAAGATCTTAATTTGGATTCCAAGAGAAACGTGCTGTCTAAAGACTTGTCTGGAGGGTACAAAAGGAAACTCTGTCTGGGCATCGCCCTTGTCGGAGGCTCCAAAGTAGTGTTCTTGGATGAGCCTTCAAGCGGAATGGATGTTACTGCCAGAAGAGAAATGTGGGACATGCTCAAAAAATACAAAGAAGACCGAATCATCATCTTGACCACTCACTACATGGAGGAAGCTGACAATCTTGGTGATCGAATTGGAATTATGTCACACGGCCAAATGCTTTGTTGCGGAAGACCAGAGTTCTTGAAGAACAAGTTTGGAGAAGGCTACAACCTTGTCGTTGTCAAAGAGAATAGAGAAGAGAACAGAGAACTCGAATCATTTATTACTAATAATGTCCCAGGATCTACCAAAGTATCAGAAGTGAGTTCAGAAGCTACGTACTTGTTGCCAAAGGATTCATCAAAATACTTTTCAGAGTTCTTCAAGAAGTTTGATAGCGACCTTAAAAAGTTAGGAGTCTCATCATATGGAGTGTCAATGACAACTCTCGAAGAAGTTTTCTTGAAAGTTGAACAAGACCCTGAAGAAAATAAAGCTGAAATTATGGAAAAGATCATCAAGAAGAGAACAAGCATGGTTGAAGATGAAAAACTTGAAGATGATTATAGCATTTCTAAAGAACAAACTGAAGGAAGCTTTAATATTCTATGGCTGCACTTGGTGGCTCTGCTCATCAAGAGATTTATATTGTCTAAAAGGAATCTCAAAGGATTTGTAGTTGATCTGTTCGTTCCTGGAGCTTTGATTATCATTGGTATGGGTATGGCTACCATAGAGTTTTTTAAAGATTCAGGACAAAGAACACTTGATGTTTCACTGTTTCCTCTTGACCAAAGACTGATCTACAACACAAACTCAGCAGCTGGAGGCTCTTCAGGATTAGATTTGATCAACTTGCTGGGCGATCAATCCAACTTCACAATCACTGCTCTATCAAGCACATATGCAAGCACAACAGCAGGACTCCAGAGCTTCGACAATGACATATATGCTGCTTCTCAGGCTTCTCCTATCAATCCGTTCCGTTATGGGCACTACTTCTTCAACTCGGTGGACTACACTACTAATAGATACCAAGTAGTCACAATGGCAAACAGTACAAGTCAGGACGCTCAAGCTGCATACGCTTCATTCATGTACGAAGCTATACTTAGGAAGGCTACTTCTGCTAGCAGCCTGAAGTTTACTACAGTTAATGATCCCATGCCTATTGTACAGATCTTTAAAGATAGAGAAAATGGAGGAAATGCTTTCTTTATGGGCTTCATTCTTGGAATCGCGCTTGCTCTTGTCCCCACCAGTATTGTAGGATTTTTGCTAAACGAAAACTTAACCCAAACACTCCATCAGCAAATCATCAGTGGAATGAACAAGCTTTCGTATTGGATATCAAACTACTGCTTCGATGTGGTGAAGATGGTGTTAACAGTAGTCTTTGCAATTATTTTCTTCTATATATTCTCTCTTGAAGTGGCTTATGGCTGGCTGTTTCTGCTTTTACTGCCATTTGCAATGATTCCATACACATATTGTACTTCATTCTTATTCAATGATGAAGGAGGAGCTATGAACTTTACGATCTATCACAACTTCTTCCTTGCCGCTTTGTTCCCAACTGCATTCACTGTGCTAAGAATCATCAACTCTACAAGGAGTATTGGAAACTTTTTAGTTTGGTTACTCAGATGGCACCCACTTTACTGCTGCATTAATGGAATCGTAGTTATTTCAACAAAGGATGCAATTGCTACAGTTAGAGATGTTGATCCTCCAAATGCATTGGCTATTGACTATGGTGCAGGAGCAGATCTAATATTCCTCATTCTTCAGATATTCTTCTGGACTATCTTATTGGTGTTAATCGAAGTAGGAGCTTGCGGATGCTGTAGAAGTAAAGGAAGAACTGTCCATGATGAGCCTGAAGAACTTGACAGTGATGTGATAAAAGAGCAAGAAAGAGTTGAAAATATTTCTGAGCAAAACCTTGCTGTTAAAGCCGACCATATGAGAAAAGTCTATGGACAGAAAGTTGCTGTTAAAGATGTATCATTTGGACTTGACTTCGGGGACTGCTTCTGCTTGTTAGGAGTCAATGGAGCTGGTAAAACCACAAGCTTTAAAATGCTCACAAACTTTGTTGTGCCCACTGCAGGACAAGCCCATATCAAAGGGTACAATGCCAAGACCCAGTTCACAGACGCCAGAAAACAAATCGGCTACTGCCCACAGTTCGATGCCATTTTCAGCCACATGACTGTGAGAGAACACCTAGAGTTCTACGCTAAAATCAAGAAGATCCCCAAAGGTTATCATGAACGACTCATCAAAAAGGAACTCAAGAGTATGAACTTGGAACAATACGAAAACAAGCAAGCTGGATCCTTGTCAGGCGGTAACAAGCGTAAGCTCTCGGTGGCTATGGCCATGATTGGGAACCCTCCAGTGGTGTTCCTTGATGAGCCATCAGCAGGTATGGATCCTAAAGCCAGAAGATTCATGTGGGAAGTTATTGCCAAGATTTCTACAAGAGGCAAGAACTCTGCTGTTATCTTAACCACCCACTCAATGGAAGAAGCAGAAGCCTTATCGACAACCATGGGAATCATGGTCGATGGACAGTTCAAGTGATTTGGGTCTAAGCAACACATCAAGAACAAGTTTGGAACTGGATACCAAGTTGAGATTAAGTTTAGGATAATGGAAGAGGAAGAAATTCAGAAGAAGATAGATAACATCAAACTGTTAGACTTCTTGAGAGACCACTACAGCCCATGCTACAAAGTCGAGGACATCAAAGGAGCTGAGTACATCATGCTCAACAAAGATGCTTGCTCAGCTGTTCTCAGAGATCTACTAGGTAGCAATGCAGCTTACAATGAGTTCCACTCTAATGGATTCGGTAAAGAAATAATTGAAGAGCTTGAAGAGAACGGATACTATCCCGCTCACTCTCTGCTGAACTGGGAGTATGTGGTCAAGAACAATTTCGCATCTCTGAACGTTTTAAGTAAGTGTTCCCATTGGCAAAGACCTAACTTCTATAGTTGACGAGTTCGGCGAAGCCACTCTGATTGAGCAATACTCACCCAGATTCAGGTACAGAGTTCCGAAAGGAGATAAATCAGTAGGATACTTCTTCAGTCTGATGGAGAAATTAAAAGAAAAGCTAGACATTGATGAGTATTCAGCTTCACAGACAACTCTGGAACAGATTTTCAATGGATTTGCAAGGACCGAAGGAAATCGAGTAGAGGAGAGAGACTTCACCAAAGATACCCTGTTAAATGCTGGAGTCGCAGCTAGTGATAGTAGGGCAGTTTCCTTTGATCTTGATCAACGTAAGCACATTTGTGCTCATTTTTACCATTCCCATCAACTCCTTCAACAAATTGTGAAAATAATCTTTGATTCCCGATCTGGCTTTATTTCTAGTTACCATATCTAACTTTTATTATAGCAAATAAGCCAGGAGCTTCACTAAACCAAGTGCCAAACATGAAGGAGAACTCAATGAAGGGGACTCCTAGCCAAGATAGTAGATACGAGGGAGGTAAAGACAGCAAAGACTATGACGAAGAAGACTAACAGACCCTCATAATAGCTATAATTCTTATAATCTTCAAAACAACTCATTTTCAGTTTTTGTAGTTTCGAGGGTTTCTATCAGATATTTAGGACAATTTTAGAATTTACATTCTGCGATCACCAGATTTTATACGGTAGGGCAATTAACAATCTTACCTGGTAAGAACGAAATTTATACAGCGGGATTTACTAGGTTTCGATATCTGGGAGTTAGCAAGCTCTAGCACTTAGCTTTGTGACAACTCTGAAGTGCCAGGTATGTATTCTCTCATTAAAAATGGTAACAGATATTTCATAAGACTTTAAGACAAATTTTCTAGATATCTGTCACGTGATTTTCTAGAGCTTTTAAAGAAGTTGACAGAAATCGGATTGGTGATGAATGATCCATCTGGGTCCTGTCCCAATCCACAATCCCATAAAGAACGAAACCTCTGGTGTTAACTCAAAGTCTTGTTGGGAAATAGCCCAGATTCGCCTTGATAAGTCTGAAAAGCTATCTTGGCCATTTCTGAATATGAAAATTTATTTGAAAATAAAATTTAAAGGAATTATGAAACGAATTCTTCTATTTAAGATCTTGCTAGAGAGTCCCAAGGAGCTGGCCTTCATGTATTAGATAGATTTATTAATTGGAAAGAGTTTTGAACCATAATATGGCCGGCTTGCATAAACTTGGCCCAGGCAGTTCGTTGCGCAAGGAAAGACGGATAATCATTAGTGAATTATTTTAGTTCATCAGGTAAGACACCTGATGCTTCTTGGTAACTGACTTTTAGAAGGAGAAGGTGAGGTGGTCTTAGAAGGCTTCATCAATCTAGCCCCTGATCCTTCAGAGGAGTAGATGGTTAAACTATATTTATGCATTTCAAATGTCAGGATTTATTTCCAAAAGTTTTAATTACCAAAAATCTTAAATTTCCGATCTAAAATGGTTATTATCAGGATTATTCTAGAACCAAAATTTTATGTTTTTGATAAAATTTCCCCCCAAACAGACTCATTCTTAGCCCCACTCATGCCATATCCACCTCTAAACCACCCCTATCTCCTAAACTCCTCCTCCCCTTCCCAACTCCCCACCAACCCCATCCCAAAATCACTTCCAAATCAGGCTAAAATGCTCAAAATCTCTCAAACCCCTATAATTCCCAACTCAACTTCTCCCTGCCAACCCGGGGTTTTGGGGTTTTGGGGTTTTGGGG